ATTACACATGTATGTGGTCATGTAAAGGTATGAAGTGCTGCTGGTTTTGCATGGCTTTATGCCCTCCATATCCGGATGTGCGTGTGTGTGTGTAACTGATCTGATGTATAATTAAAATTGGCACAAGCTGTAACGCAATCCCAGCGGGGAGGCTGCCGCTCCCCGCTCGCACCCCTTGCTGGCTCTGCCTGTTATAAAGGGGCTGCTCCGAGTTGCATCCCGCCGTTCCAGGGAAAAACGGCACGGCAGGGAGCGCAGACCCAGCCGGGGTGACAGCCCCAGGCCCAGAGGGGACGCGGGCAGATGGCAGAGGAGGACATCTCGCTGTGCCGATTGCACCCATTGGGAACTGAGGCTCAGAGGGATGAAGGGACAGCCAGGCACTCGCAGACAGGTGCTTAACCCCCCTAATTTCAATATAATCCACTCTGGATACAATTCCGGTGATGCTTCCTTATCCAGTTTTAGGGAAACGCCACTGAATGAGCCAAGCGCAGTCAGCTGCTCTGTAACACAACAGGCTCCGGGCTCCACGGGGTGAGGCTTTACCACCCTGCTCCCTGGCAGACACACAAGTTCAACTGGGCAGGTGTCCCCAGTTGTGTGGCACTGAGGCAAAGCGGGATCTTTGGGAGAAAGGAAACACGGAAGCCTCAGGAGGGTCTCAAATCCGACCTCTCAGGGAGCTTCTTTTCCCCCTTGGTATCCCCAGAGGTTGCCTGGTGGGAGCCTTCCTCCAATGACAGCGATGCAGATGGGAGCTGACGGCGGAGTGTTTCAGCCCTGCTAGGCAGTGATGACAAAGTGCCCTCGCCAGCCATATGCTTGATGGCACTTGGAGCTGCCACGGCGAGATTCTTTTGGCTGGTGCTGCTCAGGGGCTGCTGCGGCTGGTGCTGTTTACTTGGTTTCTCCTCCACACCGGAATGATTCAGGATGACTGTGAGCAGACTTAATAGCAATACTTAGGCATAGGAACAAATTGCTGCAATTCCTCACTGATTTTAAGAGGAAAAAAAAAGGACAGACTCGGCTATTCCAACCACAGCCTTGCACAGGGCTGTTCTTTGCAGCATCTTATACAAGTCCCAGGCACAAATGTTTTCTTTATTCCACAAGCTCCTACCCTCCCTCCACACTTCACCCAAGTGTTTTCTGCTCCAGGTTGTGGTCCTGGTTACTCACTCAGCTCGAACACACCACACCGCTCCTCACTATGGGTCTAGACCATCTATTTTTAGCCACTTTCTTGATGTTTTTTGCAAACACGGCTTTACAACCACTCTCGCAGCCTTGTAGTGTTCCTGCGCTCATCCTCATGGGTCAGGACCTCAGCACAGTGAACCACATAGAGTTGCTCTAATTACGTTATTCTGCCTCATTCCTGACTAATACAGAACACGCTCACGAGCCCAGGCTCCGCATCGGGGCTCTCAATGAGCCACAAGCTCCATCCTCCTCCTCACGAGGAAGGTTCTCTCTCATGCCATGACCTGCACAGGGCTGCTTGGGGAGGGGGAAAGGAATGAGGAGATAAATGCAGTTTGGCAGGACATTAAGGGAAACCACAATATTGCCTTGTAATGCAGCTCCTATCTGATCAGCAGAGGCGAACGCAGTGCCCGAGTTATGTCTCATAGGAAGTGGAACCAGCCACCCCCGTCAAACTGATTGCCTAGATCTTCCCTGAGATACTCCTTCTGTCTGTCAGAGATACCAGCTGCTGAGGAATTCCCAGCATGTGCTGCAAATGACCCCAGCCGAGCAAACGCAGCCCCTTTTCACTTCCCCATCCCGCAGCATTTCCTGCCCGCCTCCCTCCCTAAGGAACTGCAGCCCCACTGCACAAGAAAGGGCAGCCTGGCTGGCAGCCTGGCACGTGCCCGGGTTTCATCCCGCACCAGGGCCCAGCTCAGGCAGGGAATGTGGGTGAGGAATACAGCTAATCTGGGTCTCATGGAGCAAAAGCAAAAGCTGCAGGTTTGGAACTGCTCCTTTAATTTCCCAACACCTTCCTCGGGCCCTCGCGGGAGGTATTTCCTGCTCCTCTTGTCAGCTTGGACAGCATCCTAGGAATTCATTCACATGGAAGGTGGGAAATGTGATGTGTTGGCAGAGAACATAGGCACCAGTAGCCTCTTGCACTTTCAGAATTATCTGCAGAAATTTAACTAATTAATCCTTGGAGCCACCTCAATTACACAGGTAGGAATGTCACAGAGCAGGGGGAAGCCACCGAGTTCTGGGTCCTGGATGGTACCGATACCCGAGGCCACAACAGAAATGGGGTGACAGATAGGGCCCGGACCAGCTGTAGTCCTTACAGAGGCAGGAATTACAGCCTGTGGCTAGAGCTGAGAATCCTGTTTCGATTCAAATACATCAAAGCAGGGGAGAAAGGGCTCCCCAGAGCAACTTCCCTGCCATCAGGATAATTACAGCCAAGCCAAGAACTGCCTGGGAAACAGGAGCATTTTTACAAATGAAGGAACAACTAACTGTGGGGTAGTTTAATCCTAATTAATGGAAAGCCAGCACTCTAGCAAGAGCTACGTAAAGGCCAGGTGGTGGTTCAGCATTGCACTGTGATGTATGGTAGCTCTTTCCTTATCTCCCCTCTTTACCTGCCCTTCCCTTCTCGTGTCCTTGCTCTGGGAGGCGTCGCAGGCTTTACATCATGGCCCTTGCTGTGGCCCACGAGCGTTTCCAGTGGCTCCAGCTCCCCACGCAGGTCCGGATTTTGGGAGCGCCGCTGACTCTCCAGGGAGGCTCTGCTGCTTTCGAGGGCCCGAGCACTCCAAGGGTTAACGCGGCTTCCCGCTTCGCCTGCCTCTGTCCCGCTGCCAAAACGGGCGCTCGCTCGTCTGCTGCGCTTCCTCCGCGCGGGCAGGAAATCCGTAATCTCCCCGCTGCAGATTTGGGGAACTTTGACATCCCCTAATGAGGTAAACACATTACTGTCATGTACAAACAAACAGCAACAAATTAGCAGCTGACACGTGAGGAAGCCCCGGCAAAGCAACACGCTGCACTCTTTACAGTCAATTAATGCTGCCTGTGCCGACTGCTCAAGTGCCAGGCGGGCTCTTCCCGCACTTCTCGCCCTAGCCCAGGGCTGCCCATGGTCTCCATGTGCCTTTTCCATAGGTGATTTCTTCCTCTGCTGTTCCAGAGTCTGCCTGGAGCTGACAGGTTGTGCTACATGTCCCCTAAACCTTCCAACATCATCTGGTATCGGACACTGTCCGAGCGGGACACGGAGAGGCCGCTGGGCTGTGTGTGACTCTTCTTTCCTCAAACAGGGATGTGTTTTTAAAGCTGCGAGGCAGGACTCTCACACAGAAGGCTCCTTGCATAGAGCTCATCCAGAAAGGAGTTTCTTGCAGTATCCCCTGCAAAGATCCAGGGGCTTTACATCTAGGCATGATCCCAGGAGAAGGGCCAAGGGCTAACAGGAGAGAGGGATGAGAAACAGTGTTGGCAGAGAGACAGAGATGAGACTTTAGCAAAAGCTATTCTCTATTAACTGAGAGTCAGGGCAATAGGCCCATGGTCAAAGGGCTTTATTATTATAATTGCTTTGCCAGGGTGAAAGCTTGCGGGTAAGAATCTAAATCAGCCAGCACTGAGAATAATAATCATGAAAAAAGATAAATAAATAAAGGTAGGATCCAGCCAAAAAAGGACTCACATTATCAGCCAATAAACCAATAATCCATTAGTGACCAAGGTTGCTGAATAATATAGTACTTTCACAGTGCCCATAATTTATACTGCAGACGAGAGAATAGACACGATTATTAGAGTGAGGGCTACTGGATGACACATGATGCATGACCGCGCGGCATTGATCTTCACACAACAGGAAGGTGTCTAGACGGGGAGATGTATGGCCGTGCGGCGCGGAGCAGGGCATATTTCACGCGGGCCTAATGGAGTAGTGGAGGCCGTGATGGATGACCTGCCTGCTCGCAGCAGCGGCGCAGTTAGAGCAGTGCTAATGCGTGACCTCTCCCGCTCCCCGCGTCCTTCAGTCACTCAGGGTGACCTCATTTCAAGGGATGGAAAATGAGAGGCGCGGAGGATGAGCGGGAGGGAGGAAGGGGGAGAGGAGGGAGGAGAGTAAGAGGGAATAAGGGAGGGAAAAATACGGAGAGGGCGTGATGCAAATGAATGAGTGTCTTGTGTGAACTTGCACCCTGCTGCAGGTTCTGGGCTCTTTTCCTGACTTGATCCTGTTTTAGTTGCTCCTCAGTGCATGAGGTCCCAGGGGTGCAAATCTCAGCCTTGCCACCCAAGCGGGAGCAGCACTGGGGTTGGCTCTGTGCGCTGCGAAGGAGGAGGAAGAGGAGGGAAGGAGCACACGGCTCTTTGGGCAGGGCCAAAACAACCTGAGGAGATCGATGGCAGGAGCCGGCACCTGCTCTAAGCAGCCTTGGCCATCTCCCCTCCTTCCTTCTCCTCCAGCTTTGCTGGATGCTCCCAGTTCTCCTGTGATGAATTCAGTGCTTTGGCAATGAATCCTGGAGGGTTCCTAAAGGTTAAATAAAATGATCTGCTAAAGCTGAAAACTGGACTGATAAAAAGGAGCCATTTGCTTTTCCCTCCACTATTTTGATTCTCCTTTCCTTATCTCTTTGCCTGGTTTTATTATCCTGGAGTAGTGCCCAGAGGTGTTGTCAGCCAGGGGATGTGTATGGGGAAGAAGAGGCTGTCTCCACCCCAAAGAACCTGCAAGCTTAATAGTGAAGACAGATGGATAAAAGGAGATTATTATCCCTTCTCACAAGTGGGAGACTGGAGCACACAGAGCATAAATCACTGCCTGCAGCCACACGGGAGCCGCACGCTCGGCAAGCCGCTCTATGCACGGAACATCCTTACGTTCCCAACAGATGGTGCTCAGGCCGGGACACGCGGGATGATGTTCCCTTTCTAGGCAGTGGGAATGGCTGTTGGCTCAGTGGTTGGAGCATCCTCTCCATCCTCATCCATGTCCTGCTCCGCTGCTCCCCGGCACACGCGGGCTCTGACTCCTGAAGACGCCTGGAAAGAAAGTAGACATTTACTCTGTGTTTCCTTTACCAGCTGGGCTTATTAAAAGCTGCACAGCAAATTAAAAATAGGTGGGAACAAAGATGGGGGAATGACATAAAGGGCTGCAGAAAATTCTCTGTGTGCTTTTAAAAGCTGGAATTGCCATATGGACTGGCAGAGAGACATGTTTTACATTTCCACTGGTACATGACTGACATCATTTAGCATTAACTTCTATTTGAATAAAATGGTAGTAGACATTTAGGTAATATTACAGGGCAATAAATGTTTTAAAGAGCCTTGGGGGGATGCTCTTGAAACACAGTCCAGACCAGAACTCTAAAAATATGTCTTAATCCATATTAACCTCTTTTAGGACTGTTGGCTCTCAAACAAATAATGGAGGATAGATTTTTTTCCCCCTTTTTAGTCTAAGAATTAAGAGTCCCTGGCTATATTTTTTTTTCTCTTTTTCCTCTTCAGCTGTGCTGGGAAGAACATGAGGGAATGTAGTTAAAATTCAAAAAGGTTCCCCTTTATCATTACCATGAATCAACACAATAAATGAGCCCCTTCAGAGCACGGTAATAAGAATTTGATAAATCATCAGCCAAAAATTAACTAGATGTCAAAACAATCTTTGGGAAGTGTGATGGATTAGGGGCGATAGTGGCAATTAATCTCCCAGCATGAGTTCACAGGAGAGACTGTGCGCCGGGAGATGGATAGGGGGGAGCCCAAGGCCTCGCAAGGTCAGGACACTGCAGAAAGAAACGGGAGAGGGAGGGAGAGGCGGAGGGAAGAGGAAAAATTCCACCGAGTCGGCAGTACCCAAGGTGGAGGTCGGTCCCTTGCCTTTGGAGACCCCTCTGCATCCAGCTGCTTGCGGGGATGATGTCGGCGCTTTCCTGCACCCGCTAATGACCGGCATGAGCGGGGTGCTGGGGCTCAACTAGGGGCTGAAGACACCGCCACGGGTAGCGATGCGGGCGGCCTGGGCAGCGAGCCCTCCAGCAGCAGCCCGGCAGCCCCTCCGTCCCACCCTTCCCGCGGGAATGTCCTTATCCTCAGGCACACCGGCCTCGCGTGTCTGCAGGGCTGCAGAGCACGGCGCAGGCTGGGCTCGCCGGCGGGGCCTCCCTGCCTCCCTCCACGCCACAGGCAGCACTTGGCGGTCGCCTGCACGGCAGCGCTTCCCTGCTCCCAGGGTGGATTTCTGCCAGCGGGACCCCGGCAAGAGACAGCTGGGCTGGATACGGAAACTATGGATATGAGGGATGTGGCAGAGCTGCTGGTCCGGCCCAATTTCTGCTCTTCCCTCTCCGCACAGTCTGCCACCCGGAAACCTTTGTGCAAGGCAAACTAATGGAAATAAAAACGGTGACAAACGAAAATCCAAACTCCAGCAGTGCTCCTGCTGACTCTCATATCCAACTAGGTCCTGGGGGACGGGGACATTTCTTCCAGCGAACGCAGGGCCTGCCACATCCACAGGGATCTGGCAATGCTCCAGGCAGCCAAGGCTGCGCCGAGGGGTAAGCGCGAGGCCTTGAGCTGCTTTTTAGGAGTGGGCAGTGGTCGCAAAGAAAACAACTACAAGGCCGAGCTCCGGCGCAGGCACCGCGCCGTGGTTCTCGCCCCTGTCGCTCTGTGCCTGCAGTCCCTGCCTGAACCCCCGGGCGCTGTCACCGTCAAGCGCTGCTGCTCCGACACCCACTCTGCTCTTCCCCTCGAGCGACAAGGAGCAAATGTTTGTGCGGCACCGAGAGCACCCGCGCGCCCAGCACAGGGAGCCTCCGATTCACCGCACGTGTTCCCGGCTGGCTGCTCGCTTGCCCTGAGCTCCGTGTGCCCATTCCAGCTGGGATAAGGGCACTCAAGGCTCCTGCCTCGTGTCCTCTGGCATCACTCTGGCTCACGCATCGGTCAAGAGGAAGGATGGACAGTTGGGAGAGAAGATGGACAATAAGAGGGCAGGACGGACAGACGAGGGACAAGACAGACAGTCGGGGGTAGGATGGACAGTTGAGGGGCAGGATGGGCAGACAAGGGGCACGACGGATAGCTGAGGGGCAGGATGGAGAGTTGAGGGGCACGGTGGACAGACAAGGGGCAGGACGGATAGTTGAGGGGCAGGACGGATAGGGCGCTGCTGCCCCGTCGCTGTCACTCGTGGCGGGTTTGCCCTGCACGGAGCTCCGACGTTGCTCACGTCGGGGCCAGGGCTCTGCGCACGCCAAGCAGCCCGGTCCTTTTCCTGGAGGGATTCGAGCCCTCAGCAGGCCACGGCCACCGGCAAGGGGGATATCTGCATGCCTAAGGAAAACCCCAGCTCTCCAGCCTGCTGCAGCGTTCCCGATTCTCCTTGGGCTGCTCGCAGTTTCGCAGGAGAGAAAAATGCCTGGCAAGCGCAGGGGGGCTGCGGGCTGCTTGGCGCGCAGCCGCGTCAGGAAGATTTCTGGGTGCAAAAATAAAAAAAAAAAAGAGAAAAACCCGCCCAGCTGGAACGTTCTCCCAGAATGCCTGTCTCTTCTCAAGACAGACAAGGCTTGGATGGAACAGATGTTTCCACCCAAAAGCAGATGTGGAGATGTTACTTTCCCAGGGAGGAAATGTGGTAGGGCTTATTATTAACCAACAGGCCCCATATGACAGCTTCCCTTGACCAGCAGTTGGAAAATCTGGGAGAAAAATAACCCTCTAATCCAAGTGGTGGCAGGAAACAGCCAGTCCTGATGGAATCAGGTGATTTACTATTATTTATTACAACCTGGAAATGACCAGGAACATCTGGGAGAGCAAAATGTGGAAGAGGCGGAAAGCTCGAGCAAAGGGGCCAAATTCTAGATTCCACAATGGCCTCTGTGCCCTGGTGAACACCAGGAAAGGCAGCTGCAAAGTCACTTTTACCACTCAGCTGCTGCCACGAAGGTCTTTCAGGCCAAGTGCTTGAGGCCCAGAGTGGCCAACGGAGACGGCAGACAAGATGACAAGGAGCAAACCTGCAGCAGGACTCACCGTGGCAGCCCTGGAAACACCGGAATTGCTCTCCAAGGAGGCTGCTGGTTGGAGACAGCCTTTGCTAGTGGGAAGGAGGCATGATGATGCTGCAGGGGTCCTGAATCCTTCTCCCTTGGGATCTAAATGGCAGTGTGTGCACACGCCTGCAGCAATGTGCTGGAATCAACTGCTGGAAAAGAGGAAAAAGAAGAAGGTTCAGACCAAATCACAAACCAAACGCAGGGAATGAAAACAGAAACACACCCGCAGAACAACAGCACAGGGTGTTGCTGACAGCAAGAAAAGCAAAAGAGATTCTGAAGTGTAAAATGTTTGAAAAATGACCAAAGCAAGAAATGGGAATGGGCAGTAGGGTGCTTTATAACCAGCCCCGGAACGCTAAATCGCGGTGGTCACCAGTTTGGAACCGGACCAAATGAGCCAACCCTTAACAGAAGGTTGATCAAAAGCAAATGAAGCGGTGACAGGGCACAGGCAGACGTGTGCTGCTGGCCTCAGCGCTGCCTGCGGGAGCTGTGAGCAGGGCTGACAGCATCAACAGGTCTCGCTTGGTGCATTGGCCTTCCCGTAGTTTCTTCGATCCGGAATGGCATCCGGACATGCAAGATTTGGCAGCTGGGTGCGCATCCTGCTGAACTGGGAGGCTGGCTCAGCCCTGCTCAGCACTTTGGGTTCCTGGAGTCCTCTGCAGAACTTCTGCGTCTCCAGCTTTTAAAACAAACACTCAACCAACCACTACCTTGCTGGTGAAAAATAAGATATTCTCTGCTGCTCTGCTGACAGCCCCACTAAAGGCATGTGGACCTTTCCCCCCAGGTACGGGGAGAAGAGGCCCTCAAGGCGCACGCGCTTTGCTGTGGTTAACCCACACCCGGAGAGCTCCTCCAACATCTGCTTACGTTTTCAGAGCAGCCTTAACATTGTCAGGCCATGGCAAATCTGCTTAATTTTAATGGACATATGTATAAGACACAAGCCAAAATACACTTAGAATGGGCCATGTCAGAAAATAAACAACTGTTAACTAATGAAACACATAGGAAGCTGGTTCTTGCTCTCCCACGTACAGCTGAGGGGTCCCCTGCGCGAAGGGCACCGAGGCAGCAGGATGAGGAGGACAGGCAAAAAGCTTGGGCAAAAACAACGTGCCAAAAGTCCCCGGCCTCAGCATGGAGCCTCTTCCTGGAGGCCTGGCTGGGCCCCGTGGCAGCGGCCTGCATGAACCAGCAGCTCTCGGCTGCGCAGTGTCGTGGGGCGCTGCAGAAACCCTCCATGCACAGAACGGTGTGATACCGAGTGCAAAGAACTGCGTGATACTGAGTGCACAGAACGGTGTGATACCGAGGTGCAGAGCACGCGCGCGGCGGGGCCACAGCAGCCCCCGTTCAACGGGGCACAGCCTCCCCGGCCATAGGTGCACCCTGCTCTCCACCTCTGTGGATAGATTTGTAAAACGTGAACCGGAATTTCCACCCTTGCCCTTTTCTTTAACTTGCTCTGAAAAGTATACGCTGTGAGCCAAAGGCCGGGGGGCAGGAGACGTGCCCCCTCCCAGAGAGCAAGATCTCCAAGGGGCTTTTCCAACGAGCTGCAGATTTCTCTGGCATCTATTTTCCACGCTGGAGTCAGTATAATGAAGTCCAGAACTTTTCAGGTTTTCCCTTTAATATATCCATCATGTCTAGATCCATTATTGACGTGTTGACTTTCTTGTTTCTGATTTAAGCTGCCAGACTCAGTAAAACTGCCTTGACAGCTTTAACATTTGTGGCAGAACACTGACATGATGTTACTTACAGCTAATTAAAGTTGAGAGCATAATAAACAATCCCGGGATCCCAGCAACCCAACTTCCTGGGGAGGTGACTTGGCTGCATCTTGACCTGTGCTTGGAGCCCGACCTCGCGCTCTCCTTATGCCGGGGCTCTGGATACCGGGATGTGTCTACCAGGACTGCGGGTACCCAGCCTGGCAGGGGGAACGCTGGGTGATGGGATGAGTAATGGGCAAGAAAATAGGGAGAGGAAACTATGATCCGATGGAAGAGGGATTTCTAGGGTTGTTTCGCTGAGGAAGAATGGGGCAATGGGTTACAGCTGGTTAGTGATGGGATGAAAGTGCGCAAAGAAGAAAACAAAGGGAATTAGATTTTCCCTTCCTTAGGTCCGTAAGGAATTTCTACCTGTGTCCATTCAGTTTTCCTTTATTCCCTCGCTCCATCTCAAACCCAGCTTGTTTTCCACAGACTTGCCCTCCACAGTGGGAAACAACGAACGACTCCTGAATAAGAGGAATTTCCCTCTTCCAGGGCTCCTTTCCAGTCTTCCGCCACACTTCCCTGTCTCAAAACCCGCCCGTTTGCCCAGCCTGTCCTGGATCCGCGTTCCCAAGGCCGTGCCGGAGCCTCCAGCTGTTCCCTTTCCAGAAGGGTTAATGCAGCAGGGAGGGCTAGGAACAACTCTTGGCCGAGCGGCATTTCCTCCCTTTTGTCTTGGCCCGGCCTGTTTTCGCCTGCCGATTGTTGGGGCTCTTTATTGCTCGCCTTGAGACCCTTGTTGGCTTCCAGCTGGGCCGCGCACGCCGCGCAGCGCTGCAGTGGGAAAGGGGCCGCGCGCTGACCCCCAGTCATTAATCAAGCTGCCTGAGCCGGGCTCTTTTCACAGCCAGAGCCTGAGGAGGGGCTCCGGGCAGCCGCGCCAAGGGGAGGGAGCCCCTTTCCTGCCACCGAGGTTCCAGCGCAAGCTCGGAAACCAAGCCATGAGTCAAGCCTTGATCCCGCAGCACTTCAGAGGCACCGAGTGCAGCCTGCAGCCAGCTGCTTCATCTGGGCTGCTACTCATGTGGGTATGCCCAAAAAGCGCAATTTTTTTCATGGTAACCCTTAGAAATATCAAGAAAATTAGGTCATCAATTACATAAGTTTACTCTGAAACCTTAGCTCCGATTCCAGAGCACAGTCTAACCTAGGAAGAGTCCCCGCAGGCCATCACGCTCCCACAGGCGACGCATTTGCACCTTGAGACGAGCTCTGCAGAAAGCCCAGGGTCAAATACCTGCCACGCTCCTGAGCCTAACACAAGTCTTAACTGAGGAAACCAAAGCACAAGCCCAGCTTGGAGGGACCAAGGGAACGAAGCCTTGTGTCCAGGAAAAGCAGGCGCTTGCCTCCTGACATCCCTATTTCAGAGGAACGAACTAGATGGTAAGTACAACTGGTAACAATTTTCTAAAATTGAAGGAATTTCTCGTTCTTTTCTTCAGTTAATAGTTCTTTTGTCCCAATTCTAGACATTTTGCTAATCAGTTTCTATCATATGGGAGCTATCAGCAAAGACAGTCAAGCCTGAGGATACGTAAAACCCTTCTGCTGCCTGAAGGATCCAAGGAGACCTTTGCCACTTGCCAAGTTCCCTTCAAGAGAAGGGTAAAGGACCAAAGTCGGAGCCAGAATCCGCAGGGCCATTTCTTCCTTAGCCTTCAAATGCTTTCCAAAGCTTTCCTGTGCCATGATTCCCAGAGGAGAAACCCCCCAACAGGTTGATAAGAGGCACCAGAGGAGCCTCGTCCCTGCAAGGCAGCCCTTGGCCAACCCTTCTTTTTTCTCTTCCTTCTGAAACAAATGGAAGGTGGAAGCCAGGAGGCAGCTGGATGCAGTCGATGGAAAGCGACAGCTCCAAAGCCCACCACTACCCACGGACACACCTGAACTTCCTCTGCTGCAGCCGTAAATCACCGCGCCTGAAGGAAATAGTATCATTAGTTCTCACATGTGCATCTGAGCAAGAAGTGCCTGATAAAAAAAGACCCATTTGCCACTGTAACTATATCAAATCTTCTACAAAAAGTCACTTTGAGGTCACTGTTTTTGTCCAGTATTTCAATACATTAAATGCAATTACTTCATTGTTGATTTACCTGTCATTAGAGGCATGTGTTTGAACATGATTTATTGAGTGAGTTTTGTGCCAGTTGACTTGCAATAGATTGCACAATATTCAAAAAGGCTCATTTGCTTGGCATTACATTAGAAGCAGGGTGATTGCAACACAAAGCAATGTAAATGAGTTCTGAGAGGCTCCATCATTCATGTTGTCATGTACTGAATCCTATTATTATTTATTACCATAATTGTACTGTGTTTCCTGGGGCGATAAATTAGGACTGATGGGTCCCGCTGACAGCCAAGGACTGGACTCGCTCTATATAATTTAATAGGGATACTGTTGGATCTCTGCTTTGAGGAGACTTAGGAAGGAATTTAGTAACTAAGCAAAATCTTTTCTTAAAAAAATAAAAAATAAAATAAAAAAAGCAATGAGCTTTCCCCCCCCCCCTCCCTTGGCAGCAATTTAAGTCTTGATAAAAGCTGCAGAGGAAATGGGAGCACTCTGTCTTTCATAATAGGATTGTTAAAAAAAATCACTGCCCTGTGTCACAATCTGTTTTATGCTCCCTGCTGACAGGCGGCCTCCTGACGGCTGGGAACACAGGGACAGGGGATGACATAGCGGGAGAGCGGTGACAGCTCCTGACCTCCAGCAAACAGCCCAGGGCCGCGAGCAGGAGTTGTTCCTATCTGATGCCGGCGGGGAATGGGCGACATTACCCCAACTTCAAGCTTGTCATCACAAATACCTTGAGCAAAAGTCTCCCGAGGAGGCTGAGAAGCAGCCTGGCAGATTTCACTTCTTGCCGAGGGCCTCTTGACACGTTGCATGGTCTCTGGAAGCTCTGAGCCCCCAAGTTTCCTTTGCATCGCACACCTGGAGCTGCTCTTGGCGACAGCTCTGCAGGCAACCCCACTATCTGGACAGGGGAGAGCTCCAGTATTTCAGATCCCAGGGATGTTTTAAGCAAAGGGAAGGACCGAAGCTCCATATTTCGCACCACTGCCCGCAGGAACACGGCACCTAAACCCTCAGGTGCTCCTGGGTGCAAAACCGAGGATGGGCCATAAACCTGAGCTCCTGGTGCTCCTACAGCCAGTGAAACGTGTGAGTTGGATAAACACGGCGCCGGCACCAAAGGCAGGACAGGCTTAGTCTGGCTTTGCTGGTGTGTTAATGCAGACTCTGCTGGGATCCGCACAACGGTTTTATTCCTGGCCCAGCTGGAACACACCTTCCCCTGCTATTTAAATGAAAAACAAACACACTTTCCACATAAATCGCTGATGAATGAAAACGATGACCTTTCCCTCTTCTATTTGAACTTTGAATCAGAAAATAACAGCAGAACAAAGATAATATTTCCCTCCCACATGCCTCAAGACTGAATTTCAAAGTGGGCAGGGCCCACAGTCATGGCAAGAGGCTCCTAAGACCTTAACTCCCAGGCATTTAAGCAGGGGACAGGCTTTAACAAGCCACAGCTGCCAACAGGCACGCGAGGACTCTTATTTACCCGTCTGCCTTCAGCTGACATTAGTGAGAACAACCTCAGGGAGACCAATACCTAGTTCTGCTTTATTTTTAAAGCCATGAAACATGAGGGCAGAGAATTTTAGGCCTTGAGCTCAAGCTTCTGGGAAGCAGCTCATTCCCACACTCATTCCCAAGTTGTTATAGAGCTTCTTCATCTTATAGGCTCGTGGCTGAGACTCATTATATAAATTAGAAGGTTGATAAGGCCAAGAAAGCAAAAGTGCTCTATTAGTATTGCTATTGCTTTTAACGAATGCAGCCTTGCTTCAAAACTAAGGGAAAATGAATCACAGAAACTGTGGCCAAACTCTGTCCTCAGAGCTAATGGCCAAAGTCCCGTCCCTGGCAGCCGCAGGGATGCTGAGATGACAAGTGTGGCTTGCCCATTAGAAGGAAAGAGCAGCTTGCACGGCCCCAATCAAAGAGGATCTCTGCAAGAGCACTGCTGCAAAGCCCTGCAAAGGATCCTGTAAACTGGATGTCTCAGGTTCTAGGATGCAGATTAAGATTCAGCAACAGAACTGTTGCTCTTTCTGAGCTTTTAAATGCCACCAATACTCATCTTTCTACTGCGCTTTTTGCAAGAGGACTCAGAGCTGAAGAACCTCAGGACTGTTGGATTAGAACAAGTTAATGGTCCCTACAGTCCTGTACATTGTATTTGTGAGCGACCAAAAGTCCATAAATCCTCCTAGTGGACAATTTTATGGAATAATCAACACATCAAGGATATTTCTTTGTAACCTTCCCCAAGTTAGCGACTGGCTTATGCCCCGAGGTACGAGAGCTTATTGACTGGATTCATCTCTTGCGAAAGTCGATAGATATCTGTCAATTCAGGTCAATTCAAATGAGATTTTATTGACAGAAGAAGCTACACAAAATGTTGCCAAAGTGTAAGAAAATGACAGCACGTACTTGCCTCCCTTAAGTCATCTGTCAGAGGGGTAGCACAACCTGCACTGTTTTTACAGGGAGACTTCCTCCCAGCTTGGCTGAATGGAAATTGCCCTTGATGGGAGTTCCCGGGCTAAGCACAGGCCAGTTCCAGCAGGCTCTCCAGAGAGCCCGTCCACAGCAGCACGAGGGCACTGAAGGCCAGGCTGGTAAATGTGCAGCCCTGTTATAACTAGGGCAATATGGACAACGTTCTGCCCAGAGCAGCGAGCGTGTGGTAGGTGTGAGCTCTGCTCTGGGCTTCCTATTGCAGCTGACACTCCCGCTCACGCTCCCTCCGCGTCACACGGAGGCAAAAAACTCGTCACCCAGACACCCAAGGGGTGTTTCACGCACCCTCCTGCAGCGGGGATGTCTCTTTGGCCAAGCACATTGTGCTCAGAGAACCTGCTGGGAGACAAGAGGGGTCATGAAAAACAGGGGGACTGTGCGCTGGGCGGCACGGCCGAGGGGCCCGTCACCGCGTAACCTGATGCAGGAGCTAGAAAACGTCTCAAAGGCACCAGCAGAAAGCACAGAGTCCAGTTTTGAAGGGAAACCCGTGGTCTGTAGGTCCTTGATGTATTTTGCAACAGACCCTGGCGTTGGTCTCGGTTGGGTTTCCAGCCCCAGCACCATAACCTGCACAGGGAACTAAACTAGAAGGTGGCTGGAGGCTGCGGGGCCGGCTTTCGCCCTGCGCCACTTGGTCCTGTCCTAATAAACACGACGGGAACAGCTCAGAGCAACCGAGAGTGCCTCTGCCTTCAGCTGCACGAGCCACTGGGCTGAATTAGACTGCAAGGCCTCTCAGGGACCTGGCCTGGCTTCCCACAGGGTCCGCACGGGCCATCGGGCACCGAGGGACGTCTCGCGCGGCTTGAGGAGCCTCCGACCCGCAGCCCGTCCCAGAGGCCGCCGCCGGCCGTCTCCGTCACTCACGGCCATCACCACGAGCGCACCAGCTACTCTTCCCTACGTGTTCCTTCCTGAAGCGCTCAGAGCCAAAACGTTTTTCAAGGCTCAGGGAATACGAGCACCGCCTTTATAACCGTTCCCACGGTGGAGGCTCTGGGGCACAGCCGCCTCGCGCAGGGAAGGACGAGGACGTTGCTCCCGGCCGCTCCGTGCGACACATTTTCGGAAATCTCCTGTATTGTCAACGCAGCCTTTCCTCCCTAGTCACGCTCTTATTTAGGCTCTTTATACTTTCATTAACTATGGGAAAATGCAGGCCGTTACATCTGTTAGCAGACATAATTTTAGACAAATACAACTTCTTATCAAATAAGCCTGCAATAAATGTTTCATGAACAGAACCCTTCAATAGAACTCCCAACACTAATTTAATGAGAAGTATCAAATGAATTTTTTTTTTTTATTCTGATATCTCCCCTGAGACAAATGATACTTTGCAGGCCTATTTTTAACAAATGAATTATTGACTTAAACTGGCACAATTAATCACAATATAATGGGATCAGGGGATGTTAGAGGCTCATTCAGCACGGCAGATGATGAGTACTGACTCTTCCAAGAAATGAGGCTCTTTAATCACTCCCAGATTAACAGCTACATGCTTTCAAATTTCAATCACAGGGAACTGGCAGTGTGTGAGGAAGAGGGCCCATGCCGGGAGAGAGGAGGAGAGCGGGAATGTTTCTCACCCACAAGAGCCTCGCGATCCCGGGAATCGCACCCTTCCTGGGAAAGCGGAGGAGCCAACTTGTGCTTTTTCCAAAAAGTTCCATTTCCAGCAAGTAATTTATTTTCAGAAGATCGGAGTATGTGTTAGGCCATTCCCCACCTGCCCTTGTGGGAAAATCTGCAGGACGTGACAGAAAATCCTCATAACTAATCTTCTCCTTAGTAAGATAAAGAGGATGGATATAGGAATATTTTATAGGGTTCTTCAGGGCCCCATCCTGCCTCCACAAGGACCAAACCCTGCAAGCAGGAGGGCTGCAGACCCCTCTAGCACCTGTCCTATAGAAGGGGCAGTTTGGAAACTATTCCATGAGGAAGTGAGGATCTGAACTGGCAAAGCCCTTAGGAAACTACATTCAGCAGAGGTTATATCAGACGTGGTCATGCTGAGGACTATTTTATCCTACAGATCAGTTCCGTGCAGAGAACAGACTTCCTAGAACACCCCTCAGCTGCTCCTAGTGCTGGAAATACCAGGTGAAGCCCCCTAAGCTTTGCCAGAAGGGGCTCATGCATCCTGTGCACGGGTGCCCTGCAGGTAAGGGTGGTAAAAACTGTGTTTTAGTGAAAAAGTGCATCTCAAGCTGATGTATCAGGCTGGTTAGGCTGAGCTCTCATGACTGCGCACATAGAGCGTGCAGCAAGAGCACTCCCAGCTCCGGGGATTTAATGTAATTGTCTTGCAGTGATTGGAAGGGGAAATTCCTTTAGCTCTCCAGACAATATTTGACCCACCTAAAGTGTAATTCTGAAGTGTTTGTGACAAACAAAACCCAAATATAATAAGTATAAAGATTAAGTCTTAAAGCCAGAAATGACAAAGGAAATGAAACAAAATTAACATCAAGGCAGTAGAAACTGGAGGGAAGGTCTAATACTAGCTCTGTTTTACTTACAGTGCTGGCCTTGAATTTAGGGTTCTGCCTCTTCTCAGCAGCGGTTAGTGACATCTCAGACACCTCAAGCAGCGAAGCTTTTTCCTTCGGCCTGAGGTGCTTGCAAGACCCTGGAATCTTGCAGGGGAAAATTCTCGATTTGGCAGGAGACTTGGCAGGTAAATAACGGGTAAATAGATCTCCAGCAGGTGAGCTTCAAAATGAAAACGCACAATTGTAATTTGCAGCTATAAACACAGTTAAAAAATAGCTCCTCTCTAAAATCAACAGGGAAATTAAAGAAATTCCAGGATGGATCATATACGACATACAACGAACCCAATATCCTGCCTTTCACAGTGGCCTGCATCAGATGCTTCAGCAAAAAAGAAAAAAAAAAGAAAAAAAAATCCAGAAACTCAATAGGAGAAGAGTCAAGAAACTAAGAAGCCTCCACAAGCATAGGGTTGCACTAATGCAAAACCTTAAAGTCAAAACCGAACGTAAACTCTGAAACACTCTTTCAATGTGTGTGATTACAACTCAGCGTTACACCTCTAGAAATTAATAATATTTAGATAAACTACCCCGATTTGGTGCTTTTTAGGGGAAAAAAGAGAACTTACAGCATCTCTCACTGGCTAAAGGACAAAGAAGAGGACCAGTTGGCCAACTCCGGAGTTGATGTTGAGGGCTGAATTTCATCGACGCTGCACAGTCGAGTGCTTGAGGTCACTGACACAGGAAGCAAAACTGAATACTTTCAAGCTTGGAACTAGAGGGTAGGTAAAAATCAACAGTAATAGCTGTGTTAATGGCTACCATAGAGAAAATCTGATATTTTTAGGCTGAAATTCTGCACCAAGACTGATCAACAAGAACTACTGAGGATTTTTTTCTCCTCTGTATGAGTTTTTATCACTGAAATCATTTTCCAAGAGTTTTATGGCACTCATTGGTTTCTTCCTAAGAAATTCTCCCAGTAATTTTGGTCTACATGATATACAACATATACAATTAGATTTTCAAACAAGCCAGGACAAAGCCCATCAGTACTCATACTAACAACATAATCCATTTAAAATTTATCTTTGTCAACAGTGGAAAATAGAATAAAGGGAAATAAAATAAAATAAAATAAAATAAAATAAAATAAAATAAAATAAAATAAAATAAAATAAAATAAAATAAAATAAAATAAAATAAAATACCAGCCATTTTCTCTCCTTAAACATAGCATTTTCTGTGAAAGGGTATAACAGTGTCCACTGGGATTTACACGAGAAGCATCCAAATTATTTTCCCAATACGTAACCAACTCCAAATATTTTGACAGGGAGAGGTGCCTGTTTCCTGTCCACCTCCTCCTGATCCTCGCTGCGGAGCTCCTTGTGCTGTCATCCACACGGAGGCAGGAAAAGCATGGGATGGGGCGGTGAGCAAAGCGGTCTCAGTTCAGAGAACCCTGCATTCCCCCCGTGCAATAAAGCACCCGCTTGGGCCATTTTTCTCTCCCTTTCTGCTGTCGCTGTTGACGCTGACCAGGAGGGTGCCTGGAGAAAGGGTTTGCTGTATGCATGGCCTGGCCCTAACAGCTGCACATCTTCACACAAGTTGCACTCTCCAAAAATCCACACAAAAATGGGGAACTGGAGGAGGAGTGGGAAGGGAAAGGCTGCAGATGCCCTGGATTGTGCCAAACTTTTTCCTCCACGTGTCACGGCCTGCAAGGCAGAAGGCAGAAATGGGAAGCAGCAAAGGGAGCCCATTCGTGCTCAGACACAGCCCTGAGCCTGCTCAGAAGCGGAGCCTCCCTCGGAAATGGGGGCCAGTTCCTGGGTCTCCAGTGGAGGTCTGGTAGCCAAAAACCATTCTTCACCTTCTTTGAATTTATAGGCCTGTCAGAAAGTTAGAATTGATTGGGAAGAGGTCTTGTTTTACCTACGATGAGAGGAAATCAAGTGATGTTAGCAGCAACGCTGGGCACATTATCATCTGCTGGTTCCATTTAACAACTTCTCACAAAATATGCAGTTTACATTATGGTATCCTGCACATGTAGGCTTTGGCTGAAAATATCCTCCAGAGCTCTGGATTTATGGTCATGCAAATACTCAGGGAAGCAAGAAACAGGCACGCCAAGGAATGAGAAAGGAAAGTGGCCCCTGTTTGTGCTCTGGGCAGGTTAACTCTACCCTGACCACGCTGCAAAGCAGAAAGGCTGTTGGTGTTTCACCTCCCAACCCTTTGGGGATGGCAGCTTCTCCCAAACCTTGTCCTGCATCTCGGGACGTCAGCAGCGAGGGCAGGCAGGGTGCTGGCTCCGGGCTCCAGAGCTCTATGGAGACAGGGGAAGGATCCTGGGGTTATTTGCCCTGTTAATCTGCTTGGGGACAAGCAATTCTGGTGCTGGAGTTGTCACCTCAACATTAGCTCGGGTGTCTTTGCACAGCACTAGCCACCGGTTTGGATTGTTGTCATTGGGGAATTGCAAGCTTAATAAAAGAAAAGCAAACAAAAGGATGTTGTTCAAAGACCTCCATTTCACATTAGGGCACAAACAATACATGTACAAGCAACTCGGCAATCTGTCACCTGTCAGCTGTCACCAGAACCTTTGTGGGAAATTAATTTTCAAGTGCAATTTCAGGAGCCCAGTGATCTAAGGCTGTGGAGCAACGGATGTGGATCAAATTGGAAGTGGACCCGTACACTTCCTCATGAGGAGTTTTCATAGAAAACTCCCAGCCCACCAAGAGATAAAAGTGTATCTCAGCAACATTTGCCCCTATAAGCCACACACAGAGAATATTTTCCCTCTAATACGTCCTTTGCTGTGCTGAAGAGTAAGGGCAATAAACACAATTATCTCTGGTCCTGAATTTCAACTGGGCAACATCTTGAGTCGGACCCTTCCTTTTGGCTGCACTCCTGCTCCCAATGGTGCTGATCACGACTACGGGACAGTTCTATTTTGGTTACATTACTTCTAATTTACATCAGCCAGAGCTGCACTTAATACGTGACGTATTTAGCGCTGGCACTTTAAAGTCAGGCTTAATACACATTTTTGGAGTTGTGGTCATTAACTACGTGACAGCTTCCAAGCCCTGGATTTACTGCACAGTTTTCTACAGATTCATTTGGCTTACAGAGGAGGTTACCACAATCTAATCAGTGTTCCCTCGCATATGACATATTCCCTATATATGATATACTCCATTTCTCCATTCGGATATCATCAGGGGACAGCAGTGCAACTCCAAGTATGACACGGGGTTTATTTTTGAAGAGGGATTCTCAGCTTCAGAGGCCCACAAGTTTTCAGCAGGCGTAAATCAGCGTTCCAAGAAATGAAAGTCAGTTTATGCTTCCTGGGAGTATTTATTATTGGGACAGCTCAAGAGTGAAATCTCAAGTTTGCAGAAAAAATATGGGCGAAGCTGCTCCAGCACTGATAAAAGTGACCCACATTTCGACTCTTCCTTCTCATTTTTTAGCAAGCCGAATCACTCACTGCATGGTATCACTATACGGTCACCTCCTTATCAAAAACATTAATATGACAGCCACTTAGATGTTTTGTTTAGCAAAATGCCTTCTATGGGGGTGAAATATTTCTAGAGCTGGCCAAGTTGTGTTTTCACCAGGCAATATATTAAAAAGCATCGTAATTTGGGTGCATGAAGCAATTTTGAGGGCAGCAACCAGTTATTTGGGAGCAACTTTAAGAAATTCTCTGCAATTTTCTTTCTTTCTTACTTACCCGGAGAAGCTCCCATCGAGAAGGGATGAGGGGAAGAATCCGGCCTGTGGGACTCGAATTCATCTGCAAGCAGGTGTTAAGTGACTCCCTCCAAAAGGACAAGACTCATTCCTCTGCTGGCTTTGGGATGAATTAGCATGAATTCATAATCCATAAATCCTGGTGGCAGCAGAACAGCATCCCTCCTGTTGTTATTTATTTTGAGATTTTCACTGGGGCAATAGCTTTACATTTGACATTTATATAGGTCACAGTGAGCTAATAGCCATCTGCCATCTGGGGACTTTTATAATGAACATTGCAGAAGACTATGAAACAATCTCTGGCATTTCCGATTTGAACATAAGCTGAAATAGGGTTGATCTTTACAATATGCTCTGCTGTCTCTCTTCAGGTTTGCATTAGTCATTTGCCTGGCCTTGCTACACACACACGCTTGCACATATGGAAGTGGTGGGCTTCAGTATTTAGTACTATCAGTTAATCACCGCTGACACAAAAAAAACACAGTACCTCTCACGGCAGTAAAGGGCTCCTATTCGCTTGGAAATTCTCAATGCTTTTCCCCAAAATTAACAAATCTTGGGAAGCACAGGGGACTCGGCTATGCTAGTGGCTTAACAAGTCTCTCCTACAGACCGTGTAGCATCCCCCATAGAGGCACCTAGATGTCACCTCATCGCCCTGCCTACCCAAAATCCGTTCCCAGCTGTGGGATGCAACCCAAGAACTCGCAGGGTGGGTGGCTTCCATAAAACTGTGTCCTAGAAGCACCGTTGCAGATAGCAGGGAATAGGTTGCACCCCGTCCCCAGCTGTTGTGAGCGTCTACGTGCATCCGCAACAGCTCCTCAAGAGGAGCAGGAGTCTCCGCCGCCTTCCTGCTGCCCACGCCCATGCGATTGCCCCTATTTTCCGGCGCTGGGTGCTCGGGGCTGTCAGCAGCACCTTTGGAGATGGAGAACCGACACTGGAGCAGATCATGGGACCTTGGGAGAGGCGTGAGCCACCTCAAAGAGCTGTGAGGTGCCCAGGTGTCCCCAACTCCCGGTCAGCTCCTCAACAGCAATGCAAACCTTCCCCCCAGTACCTACATGCTGTTTATTTTATGACACAAATGTGTGAAAGGACTGAATGTGCTCAAATGGTTGAAAATATCCCATCTCCATTAGTCACTCTCCAAAAAGCCTCCTAGGGGGCCAGGCCTCCTTAATGCTGCATGTTCCTCGTGAGTTCCCCAAGTCTCAGCAGGCCTCAGGGTAATAAATTACATTTGTCTCTGCCTTAGCAGCAGCCTGGCCGAATCCTCCTTTCCATGACTCAACTCATGATGAAATGCCTATTTCCTGGTGCTGAGATCTGTGAAAATTGGTCTTTTCAGCCTACCTCCTGAGGGACGTGCCCCAGCAGAGCGGCCAGGGGCATCTTTGATCAGATGTGCTCTGCTCCCTTTTCCTCCCTTGCCCCCTGATACCGACGCCTGGTCCTGGGGTGTCACTTATTTGTATTATGTCTTTTAAAGACAACACATAGAGCATGTTTGAAATCCAATATCCTCTCATGGGGCTCCGTGGATGGGAAGTCAGGGGGATGACTGAACGCTGACCAGGTTTTGACCTGGTCCTGCAAGGACTCAGGTTACACAAAATGCTGCGCTGGCTCCACCAAGCATAAATCTTTCGGGCTGCAACTTTCTGCAAAGTTCAGCAGGTGACAGCTCAAATAATTTAACGTTCAGCTGCTGCCTGCTAATGCTGACGTGCAGGAGGCACCGAGGGCGGCCTGTGCCCTGTGCTGCCCTGGCTCTTTGCTCCTCGCTGCCCGGGCTCTGTCCCTGGGTTGGGGGTGGCCTGGTGCAGGAGGGGCAGCTCCAGCCGCGGGTGGGATTGGGACGTGCGGAGGGAGCAGAGCTCAGGCCGACACTTACCGTGTCTGTGCCAAACCTGCTCCAGAGCATTGCAGGTGTGCGGGGAGCAGAGCAGGCAGAAGGTACTGGGAGCTCAGCCCAGGCAGGATGGCACACTCAGCTCTCTTGGAATTACAAGAAGTGAAGGACAGAGGGGGGAAGTTGCACTTAAGGAGGAGTAAAAACCATGCAAATGGTAGAAAGGAGCAATGAAAGTGAAGCTTGGCTCAAGCCACGTTGGGTAGATGCGTTTTTGCTCTGTCGCTCGCTGCTTTGCTGACTCCCAGCTTGTTCCCTATTCAACCCAGGGCATCAAAGAAGCTCCCTCTCCTCCTCTCCTGCTCAGGCCCAGTAGCATCTGAGGACCTGCCCTGTCCCCAGCTCTGTGCTCTGTGTTCCCTCTGAGCAGTCTCTCCTGCAATCTGATGTCAATCACCACTGTTTTAATGTGCTACTTTCCTACAGCCACACTTGTGCTTCCCTAACAATGTGCTGCTTTGATCAGTGTAATACAAGCAAAACTAACAAAAACAAGGCCCGTTTTTTCCCCTCCCCTCTCCTGAAGTAAGCCTCACCAGGCCTCAGGCTTGTAAAACCAAAGCAATTGCAATGTTTAATTTTATTTCCCTTATTTTGGGGCTGGTAGGTGCTGGTTCTGATTAGGAACAGTCTGAGCAGGAATAAAGCAATTTTAAATAAAAACATGTTGAGCTTTAGGGGAAAAAGCAACAGCCTTATCAATTTGGAAGAAATATCTTTGCAATGCAAACTCACCCGTGCTGTGGACAATGCCGTATTCACGCAGGCAGCTTGGGAAGCAATCTCTCTTGTTAGCCACATCACTCCAACAGTCTGGAGAGCAAGAGGGCATCATCTGTAGAGAGACCAAACACATTTACTGGTGAGGGCAAGGGCTGCAAGCATTTGGGGAGGATCCACTTTCAGGTGCACATTCAGAGATGAATTTACCTACTCTGAGCCTCACAAAACCTACGGGTGGTTTTGCTTGAACTTGTTTGGTAAATATGGAATCACCATCTTGATTCCAGTAAAGGCGGGCCGAGAACTCCCTTTACACCCCAGGAAAGTCAAAGCGGCCGCACCAGGACAGCTCTCTTCTTGAGTAACTCGATGCAGACCAGTGCAGTTGCACATAGATCAAAATGTTAACTTGGTTCCCCAGGATGTGAGTTAGTTTTCTCGTATCAGCACTTTGTGGCTGAAAAGCTTGCGTTTCTTTCCGCTGTGAGGAAGGTCCCTGTCCTCTAGAGCCACTGTGGATTCCTCTTGCTGGCATGCCAAGACAGCCACAGGTGCTCAGTCTTCAGCAGGGACCCAGCCCCTTTCCAGTGCTCCCATGCTGACAACAAAGCATCTCAACACACCCCCCTTGAAATTCCCCTACCAGGACTGGCGAGTGCGGCAGCACCGGTGGATCCCCTCTGCGTGGAGAGCTCCGCGACGCCCACGTTGTCCCTCTCCCAGCCGCTGCTGCAGGGCTGTGACAGCTGCAGCCCCCAGCCAGTGAATAACCTAATCGAGCCATTAAAAGAAACAGAAGCCCTCTGCCCTGTTTGATTTCTCTCTATAATGATGTAAAGTGCACTTTAATGGAGTCAAAGTGGTCCTGGGCCATTCTTGTTAGGGCCATTTGATGCAGTGCTATTGAGTCCCACTGCTGGCGTTCATTACCGCTCCGCTGCCGCGCTGCAGCTCCGACTTCCCGGCACAGTCGCGCTGCTGCTACAGCCCCTTGCCTGCATTTTGTCTACATAAATTAGACCTTGTGCAGCATATTGGCCTGTCAGGGGACTAGGAAGAAACTGTATATTGTTTCTGGCATTCCCGGGCCCTTCTGCCCCTGACATCTGCTGTGTTTGTGACAGGGAATACATTCCTGACTCATTATCCGGGCAAGTGGAATCCCTCCCTGACAGCACCATTAATCAGAATCAAGCAGTCCGGCAAATAAAAAAAAAAAATAAAAAAAAAAAAAGAGAGAGAGAAAGAAGGAAAGCAAAGAAAAGAGACAGTTTCTAACTTTCACTTTTGTGTCATCCCCGCGCCTGGACAAGTAGCAATCTATCTTTCTGAGTGACAGCTCTGATGGATGGCATTATTTATGCTTTTGTGTATTAAAAGACAGTTCTGGCACTGGCTTGTCACTCTAGCAGAGGCTGGAAAAAGCCAAAATTTAATTTGAAGGAAAAGAGGGCAAAGATCAGAGGATGCAGGGGAGGGAGCATTGCCGGAGAGGGACAGAGGCTGCTGTGGGGGACAGCCTGGGAGGAAGAGGTGTTGCATAAATACGGAATTGCCATTACAGGTGCAGAGGGTTCTGCTTTTCAATGCGAATCCAAACTAATTCCCTCATGCTTGGGGAGCTCCTTCCGCAGCACAGAGGATTTGCTCCTTGGAGAGATGCGCCATTTAGAGGGAGACAGGAATATGGTAAGTTGTTGTGCATAATGTGTGTTTACATACCCAAACATTGCTATATATGCACATAAATGTGTATTCACACAAATGAGAGGTTTTTTCTCTTGCATGCAGATCTTCAAATATGCAAAACATCTGAACATCCACACACATGAAGACACTGACATGGATGCATCCCAAGATAAGTAAAGCATACATTTTTTTTCCTTTTAAACATGTCTCTCAATTACACTATTTATAAGCAGATTTGAATACAAAGTATGGACAGAATTCTTTAAATGTGAAATAAATTTACTCAAATTTGGTAGAGGGAGGGAACTGCATTTCGCTTTTTCTGCAAAGTGAAGTCTAACTGTCAGCATATATATATTTTTTATTATACTTACACTCCCACACAAGGTAGCTGATTGTGTAAGCTCCGGTAGGACCATTTTGAGGTCCACCCTCAACTCGTGGCGTTTCCTGTCTGCAGAGAGAGCTGCTGTTTGCCTGGGAAGTGCCACGCAGGGAACTGGCTCATACTGACCCATTTATAAAGTCAGAACTGCAGGCAGTGTAAATCCATATCTTTCTCTTACTCTGCTGATTTATGTGCTGGCAGTTGAACCCATAGATATTTTTATAGTATATACCACACTGTATATAAATACTAGAACAGGCTCAAAGTATGTTTCTATAGGGATGTTATATATAGTGGTACAAGAGGAAATAAGCAGGCCGTGTTGGCTTCAATAGCGAGCAGGTACATCTGGTTGAAGGTTATGGATTAGGTGCACTTGTGCCCACAGTGAATTTGGCTCTGCCTGTATTTACGTTCCTGCAGCCCCGATGACAGCGAGAGCCTCCCAGGAGCTGCTTTCCATGTGCAGAGTGAAGAATGAGGACTTAGCTGGTACTGAACACCATGGATGAATTATTAAAGGCCATTATGGGAAAAAGGCATCTCAAATTTGGGTGCCAAACTCCCTGGGTCTCAACAACTTACTTTGTTCTAACCCCCTTCTGAAGAGGGGATCTACCACGGTGCTAGGGCCCTTCATACACTTGTCCAGCTGGGGAGAGAACTGAAGAGAGCCACTGTTTCACTCTATGACATTTTCCAACACTGAGTGACACCCGCCTTTGACCTGAGGAAACACAAAACAACGAGAAACATTGTTCTTATTATTCTTAGCTTTCGCTTGCAGATGACCCATCTCTTGGCCGTTCTGACAAACATCTGCCTTGGAACCCAAGAGCCAACATGCAGCATTTGCTTTTAATTAATACAAATGGGTTTCCTGCCTAAGACTCAGCAGGTTTCCCTTCCCCTCCTCAAGACTACTGGCATGGGCAGCAGCAGCCCTGCCACACCTAGCAAATCCTGACCACAGCCAGCCCTAGGACGCTGCAGCCAGGGCAGAATCCCAAGCACTTTGCAGACTGCCAAAGTTCTAGGCTAAATCCAGGAACAGTGTTGGCTCGCAGGCCCAGCTGGATTCTCATTATCATCCTCTTGGACTGTTTTTTTCCTGAGAAGAACATATCTGCTCTTCCTACCCACTGGGATTTTTTAGCTCCGCTCTTATAACACTCAGATGCGATTCTGCATTTCCAACATATTGCTGGAGCACTATGGACAGAGAGGCAGGAAAACGCTGCTGCTCACGAGCATTTGGAAACCAGGCAGCCCAGGATCGTGCTGCGGGTGGCTCATCAAGACGGAGGTCATGAGAAGGCCCTGCTCCCGCACTGACTTCATCCCAAAAGTTCCCCGAAGGGATGATGTAAACGACCCCAGCGAACACGCTGCCCTTCCAGAGTGCAAAGCTGTGAAACAAACCTCTTCTTTCAAGACCCAGAGCTTAAATTTCACAGCAAGATGTGCACATAATTCCGTTTCCTCCGAAAACCCCAGACTGTGCTTGGAGGAGGAGCTGGTCATTTCTCCATTGCCAGTCTCGAGTTTGGGACTGGCTTTTTCCTTGCTGCTATTGCTACCTTGCACTTGGCCAGCATGGAGCAGAGGAAAACGCGGAGGGGCTTCTCTCTGCAAGGCTTCCAGAGGTGTAAGTGAGGATGGACAGTAAGTAACTGTTCCAGCAGGAAACGCAGTAATCATTCCCAGCACGGAGGCGCCGAGCAGGACAAGGACAGCCTGTGGTATTTATCAGCACTATTCTATCATCTTCTCCGAGTTGTATTGTGCAATAAATACCTCAGCAGCGGTAAATGGTGAGAATTATCACAGCTCTGCTCAAGACAATTTATACCCACTGAAGATCTGCCCCTTGATCTCCAAAACCTAAGCAACATAAGCGCTTGCTTTTAAGCCTGGAGTTGGAATGTTTAATTCTATTCTGTCGTCTGTCAGAACAGCAGGCAGAGGGAATGAATGTATTGGTGTCATATGGAAGCCATGGTTTGATGACGGACAAAATTAAATCCCTGCATTTGGACATAAACCATGGTAACAGAAAACATGCAGCGAGTCAGGCTTGGTTTTCAGTACTGAAAACACAAGGCCCCACTTGGCAGGTTGCAGAGATGTCAGATTCAGACATGGTTTTCTTTGTTTTATTGAAGGATAAATAATTATGTGCTGAGATAGTCCAGACTCATGTTAGCACAGCGGTGTGTGAACCACAGCAGAGGAGGCTGTGAGAATAGGAAGGACTGGAAGCCCATTAAGCAGTGCCTGGGAATCCTGGAGAAGTTCTGGTGTTTGCTTCTGGAAAGCAATCCCAAAGATTCCTCAAAATATCCCTGGCTTTCTTGGCATTCCCGGGGCAGCAGATTCAGGGTGTAGGAGGTGCCCGCTGTGTCCACTGGGCTCCTGCTTCCACGTGGAGTTGGCTCTTTGAGGAACCTCTCGTTCTCCAGGCTCTTCAGGGCCTCTTCCAAGGCTTTTACTTGTAGCGAGGCCAGCGAGCCCAGTGAAGCCTCCCTGATGGCTGGGAGGACGAACCTCCTACTGCCACCTTCCCAAGCCGCCACTGGCATCTTTTGGGCTCTGCTGGCAGCGGCACCGAGCCCACGAGAAGCCAGACGCACAAAAACACGTGGAGCAGAGACCTTGCTAGTCCCTGCTCCAGCAAATCAGGGAAAACTCCCTCATTTTACAGTTGATGTTTTAACATCTTTCTTTGTGGAAGGCCCAATGCAGACAACCCTCCTCACACAGAATGGCCCTACCGTCCCCTTGCCAATTGTCCCTCTCTCCTTTTCCTAGTGCTCCCACCGCCATTCCCAGAAGTCATCTATGATATCTTGCATGGTGCCACCTGCATTTCTATTGCCTGCCAGCACTAAGGCAATACCTTAGCAGTATTAGTATTAGGAGTATTACTATGTTATAAAGGAAGTCTGCAGAGACCTGACAAGACGGTTTTTACTCCTAGATGTCTCTTTCCTCATCAACCTCCTCAACTTCCAAAAAACTGTGGTTTAAAATAAACAGAAGGTGAAAGTTGCAATTCACAGATGAAGCTCTGTGCCTTTTTTTTTTTCCTCTCCTTTTTTTCTGGGAAAAAGCTGCTCAAATGCCTGCCCTTTAGACAAGTCCTAATTGCACCATACCCAGATTGCTGTGGCTGCTGCTTTACATTTTGCACAGTCCTGTTGTAGTCACAAGTGTAAAATGGAACTTGTAAATCACAGTTTGGAGAAGGCAAAGGACATAAATGTCAGCACAGCAGAATGAGTTTACATAGAGACGAAATCAAGCTGAGTAGCATGGATACAGCACGGGGCTGCATTTCACATTTCACTGATGCTCTTGGTCCAGAGGTTTGCTCATTACCGAGGCCATGATTCTGTTATTCAAACTCATGGTAAGTGGTTCCTTAGGCAAAGATCCAGCAAAGCACTTAGGCAAATTCATAAATTTATGTTCCATTGACTTCTGTGCAACTATTTATATGCTCAAAGTCACGCATGTCTACAATGCATTTCCAGATCAGGCCATGTACTTCACAAATAGTCCTTCTGCAGCACCGTAAACCCCAAACATTCAAAATTCAAGAACCGAGGCTCCCCTTTCCCCCCAGTTACCGTAACTGCAACAAAAAATGCAGCTTCAGAAGATGCTCTTCTTAAAAAAAATTTTTGATTTTTCAATGTTAATGTTTTCAGTTTTACTTTCATAATTATGGCTAGGCACTGAGTCAACAAAGAAAATGAAATAAAGCAGAAGGAGAACCCTGGTTCTCATCTAGGCTGGGGTCTTGAGAAGATGCCATTTTTACAAAAATACTCAATTACTGCAACAAATTCACAATACCAGGAAGACTTTTTTCCACCTTAGAAAAGACTGAAATCTTCCCTGTAGGATCCAAGTTGCGGAATAAGCACGGCCCAACCCTGCTAGGCTGAGCCAGGTGCAAGGTGAACAGCCTATTAGGGGGGAAAAAAGACTAAGTTCTTGTGTCCACGTAGCCTCCTGGGCTCCCCAGCCACTCAGATTTTGTAGCACTGCTGCTTCTTGCATTATTCTATTTTTTTTTATGTATCCTCTGAAAGGATCATTTAAGTGTCATCTTTAGAAGAAGTATTTCAATGTCTTCAGCAGCAACAAGCAGGGAAGGCCGGAGTCCCCTCATTTGGCTTTTGCAGTGTGCACCTTTTCCCTCCACCCCTTTGGCGAGGAAGGCAGAATTGACTCCTACATCTGATCAGGGCAGACGAATCGAGTAGATGGGGGCAGCTCTGGCGAAGCACAATCAGGTCCCTTTCCACAGGGCTAACTTCATTTCTTCCAGACTTCAGGGCACCCAAGTCTAGCAAGCTCCTGCATTCCCCCCTGGGTGAGGGACTGGTCTCCTACCCTCTCCCTTCCCCCGTTCAGCACAGCACATTCCTCAACCACTCAAGTAATTTAAAGCCCTAAGTGACACTCTGCAGAAACTGATTTAAAGTCAGCTCAAGCTGCTGATAATATAAGTGGTAATTTCATCAAACTAAAAGCAATGGTGATTTATTTTTAATTATACTCACTATTTCAACGCAGGAAACTCAGCTGTAACTAGGGCTTGCACGTTTTACTGACTTTGCCCCAAGTTAAATGCTGAAATGTTGGATTTCAAAGGACCAGGCAGAGATATTAAACACACCTTGACTTATGAAAGCGAACATAGCCATAGGCTACTGCAAATGTTCCCCAAATTTGCATGGAGGCACAAATATACACGGGGGTTGTGTATTATACAGCCCATAGAGACACAGTATTATAAGGACCATGCAGGCCAGACAAGAACAAAAGTGATTTGATCTAATCCCATTAATCTGTTTCTCTTCCCTTAAGACTTTCAAAGCTCAGGGCAGATTCTTAGCTGGCAAGTGAAGTAGAAAAGCACTTAAATAAGACCTTAAATTTAAGCTCCTGCTTAAATTCTATTTATCGCAGAGTTCATTTCAAAATAAATTCATGTTAAAACAGTATTTCTAAGACATAAAAAAGCCCCTCACTTGAGCCAGAGCCTCTCCAATATAAACAGAGCTAATCTGTGTAGATGAGGCCTTTCCCCCTGCTCCTCTGAGTTGCTTTCCCCCAGGCAGGGCAGCAGAAGTGGCCTCTGAGCACACGCATCCTGCTGCCACTTTGCACACTCAACTACCTGCTGCAAAAGCACAGCGAAGCAGCTGCTCACCCAGCCAGCAAGGCCCAAACACAAGCCCCAAACTCCATCCATGATTTCAGAAATAACTGGTATCTGGTATCTATGCACACACGCCAGAAGCCAGGAAGTCCCAGTGAGGGTGCTGTATGGGTGAATACTTCCAGTTTTGTTTAATTCTCCAAAAATCAGGCAGGCTACATCTGTGCAGCACTGACACCTTACAAACATCCTAATTATATACTCTACTAGTATCTAGGTTCAATAAGCTCGTAAGCCTGACAGCCGCCTTTTAAATATTTACTCCTCTCAAAAGATACCTGATAGGCAGCTGTCGTTCCCCAGAAGCACAAGCAGGTTTCCAAACACTGTGATTATTTTTCCCAACTTTGCTGCCTCTGCAGTCCAGAGGAAGCCACTTCACTGCTGCGTGTGATCCAGTTAGATCCTAATTCTGCAGGAATTAGACAGTTCTTCACCATGTACT